TACTAGTTAGGTAAACGATGTCATAGCAAGAATTGCAATTAGTAGAATCGACACAATGTACGGTTAGTGTTTATACAAGGAAGAACAAAAGGAGTTGTCCCATTACAAATTTTTTATGAGTGAAACTTGAATTCTCAGTGTTTTACATTGGGGATATTTTGATTCTCCTCAACACGTCTTTCGCAGTCACTGGAACTGAACGACCAGGAACTCAGACTCGGGTCTAATATGTCTTATTCTTCGGGAGCATATGTATATCTCCCATTAATCGATCACAGTAGTGTTTAGGAGAGATATTGGGACCGTCGACAAAATAACATAGTGTAAGTATAACTCACCTTACTACGTGTCACGTCACACCTGCATACGGTACTTACTCGTCTCTTGCATTAATTACACAATAGCAATGGAAGGACCACGACCGGGCACACGTACCGATGGAGCGTCTTAGCAGTGCCATCAGAATTGTGTTGATGGATGAGTGTACTGTAGACACTTGAAACGAATTCTTGGTGGCTCGCGTTTGGATGTCGTATTCCATACATTTCTTGACAAGTCGCTGCACTGAATAACTAACATTGTTAATTTGTGATTTTCAGGTCTTGAGTTTCCACAGTAGAAGTAAAGTTGTGACCAAGTCAGCGCTAATCTGTAAATCTCTACATTTTGTAACGTGAACTACTTTTGTCGACACGTCTCCTTGTCACTTACCGTCTGTGGAGATTAAAGTCTCGACCGAATTTGATTTAAACAGGTCTACACCTAAAATTCTGCTAGGTTTCTAAGTTCCGAAAATAACAGTAAGCATCAGGGGTCCGAGGAGGTTGTCACGTTGTGTTATGTGTTTATGTAATGCAGGCGGTTCATTTATGTTATTTTATCTTATGCTTTCATCATATTAAAGACGGAGTTCATTACCGTTCGAGAAGTGTTAATTAGTACTTTAGTCCTCTTTCACATGAGTCTTGGTATAGCACCAATTTTTATTTTTCGTTCACCACCTTTATGTAAACATGTCCTACTTTTTGGTCGTCTTATTAAGGATGGATTAGTAAAAATTTTCGGTAAGGGACGTACCCATCATTGAAAATGAAGAACTATGGTATCACCTGCACTGTAAAGTTGACTCTTATGAAGGATTAAGAGTGATTAATAATCAAGAATTAGTTCTAAAAATGACATTAGCCTCTAAATGTCTGGTATTCATTATAACGGAAAAGAGTTCTTTTCCTGACTCATGAAAAAAAGTGATGACTTATTAGTATTTGTCGTCGAACACTAGTTTATTGTTCCGTACATGAGTTGACCATGAACGAATGAAATATATTATACCAATAACACTTAACATAAATGTGACCGGAAATCCCTACAGTTGGGCGACGACCTAGGTGGTGAGACCAGGTCTGATATTAGAGGTTTATAGACGTTGTCGCTAACTTGCTTTAAAGAGAAACTAAACATGTCTGCTAATATAAAATCCTTTGGACTTACAAAATAGCTCTGCAGGTTACTTCCAGTTTTCAGACCAAAATTACTGGTGAGGGACGTTGCGAAGTCTGTAAAAGTAGAGTCGACTTAAACAGATTACGAATAATTAGTCTAGGACTGTAGGTACCTACAGTTAGTCTGGTCCCGATTTGGAATTTCGGGGGGTAGAGAATAAAAACCTTGGTAACGATGCTGGGTGTCGAATTTAAACTGGGGTTTCTTGTAGGATTTCGAAACACTACTGTTTAGACGTTCCAGGTACAGTTTACCCCACGGATAAGTGAAAAAAGGTCAATTTATTTTATTTAACGGTCAAATAGTCTCGACTTGTATAAGCTGGTCCCTTCCACAAGACCTACAACTTAACAATATAAATAAAGAGACGCATGTCCTGATTCCAGCCGTAACCGACCCTCTCTCCACTACCTGTGTACTCCAGCAAGTGGGAGAGGCTACGTTGCAGATGTCTCATTCGACGAGTCGCACAGTCGCATGAAATCTTTACATTTGGAAAAACTCGAACAACAATTTGAAGAAGTTAATGGATAATCTGAAAGTTTGTAAAATGTAAAAATGTACAAATAATTAGTTACCATAGGTGAAATAACATTATGACTGTAAATAAATAGAGGTGGAAAAGGACAATGCCCATTTAAAAAACTAAATAAATTAAACATGATCATTAAAATTTAAATAAATAGACATTCAAATACAATTTATTTATAAAAAGCTCGTCAACAAATAAATAACAGATATGTATAGTGCAATGAGATTAAACAATTTGAAGTGGAGTTTTAACTGGATTTGGTCCACATGTAAGCTTACATCACCTGTCATATGCTGACCTTAGTATAACATTTCAAATGTAAAAAAAAAGATGTTAAAAGTGTAAAAAGAAAGACCTTTGAAATTGTTCGATCATGTAAACTGTAACTGATAACTGACTGCTGGAATAAATAATCGCACCATTTTGTAGGATTTATACACATCTCGCATTAGTGGCTCCCTCTGCTCTTGTTTAGTTATTAAAGCTTGATTAATACTGACAGAGAATGATTCTCTATTAGGAATGTATAATGGGATTAATGTACATATCGACAGACATTCAATTGGCTCAAGATGGAAAAAAGAAGTCCGTTATTTTTTCATACGCAATAATGACAAAACATTATTTGAATGTCTTTGGCTCAAAACAAAGACGAATCACATCTGCTCCCATCTACGAGGTCCCTGTTGATATGATAACAGTATTCTTGCGGTGCTGGCTCAAAACACGCTGGTCAAATAAATGTATGTGCAAAACAAGTGGCTTGAGGTTTGTACTCAAGATGAAGGTGGAGGACGGCTCCTGTAGAGGGGCTGATGCTCCTGGTTTAAGGCACCATGGTTTGCTGATGTACCTGCAGTAACAGCCAACAGGTGGAAATCAATAAAGGAAGACGAACCCGCAAAACTGTACAGCATTCAAGTACTATTCACATACCTGCTATTGCTCATTCTCCACTTTTACAGAGTCTGTCTGTCCTCCCTCTGAAAATTAGGAAACAAGAGGCACTGTTGAAGGCTTGATGTTTGAACATGAAAGTAATATTGAAAACATATAAACCGCAATGAGCAAAAATTGTGATAGAAGGGCATCATCAACAAACCTATGTTCTCTTTGCTGTCGTCTGCTGTGTGTTGTATATTGTTACCATGGACACAAGGGTCGGGCTTCCCATCGGCAGGGCTGTAATTCAATTCCCATTAGAGATTAAACACAGCAAACAAAACTGAGAAGAAACGGATACAATAAAACAGGGCCCTATTCTGCTCCTTTCAAGGCTCATATTTGTATTTTGCACTTCTACTGTGAGATCAGGGACGTGCACAGGTACGGGCTATTGTTGCCCGGGCAACGGCCCGTTTGGCCTTTTGGGCTGACCTGCCCCTCTGGAGAGAGCGAGAGTTTGTTTTTCTTTGTTCTGTTGTGGCCGAATCAACATGATAAGCCCACAATTAGTATTGTAGCGTCTCGCTGCGGGAAACACACTTGTCAGCGCTGTCATCTGCCGGTGCGTTAAGACCACCTCAGTGTCGGATTTTGGCAACTTGCTTTTGAGTTGTCTCATGGCAGTTAGGGTATAAGGGACAAACCAGGGGACTTTACTTCCTCTTGATACCGTCGGTTATTTACAAAAAAACACCTAAATATAGCCTACTTATTGTTATTGTGCTTCTGTGTCTTTTCATCTGTAAACTCCCTCAAAGGGGCCACTCGCTCTCTTTTCTTGATCGCCCTCTCACGGGTGAACAGTTCACTGTCCCGCTTCATTGTAGGATTTCTGCAATGTCTCCACTTTAGTTTGACCATCTCTGTTACTAAGTTATGGAATACTGAATAAATAAGTAATTAGATACCTTACCGTTAATGTCTGCGCTCATAAAGAATGATAAGAATAATGCATATTGAACCGGTTTCATTAATTAGTGAGTTTATTTAAGGTAATTAGTTAGAGGCCCTATTGTATCAGTATGTCTGGACTGCACAGCAGTTACAATGGTCTGGTCAAACTACATCAGAACAGAATTGTCCCCATTTTGTCTTTAATAGTTACTAACATTAGATATTTTAATGAGATATGGACCGCAAAACAAAAAATGTCCCTGGTTTTCATTTTTAAAATCAAGTTACGGAATGCAATAGTCGCCTTAGCTTATTTTGTTATGAGATGTGAATTACTGTTCAATTTAGTTAATGTAATAATAGTTTGGTTTCTTTTACATTAAAAACAAGTTACAATTTTCAAAAGGTCTTTTTATCGGGGGGAGGCCCTTTTTCCAGTTTAGAGCAATAGCCCCTCCAAATGTCTGTGCACGTCCCTGTGTGAGATGCTTCCATGCTTTTATGTTCAAAAAGCTATTTATGTTCTCATACTGCCGGTTAAAAAAAAACGTTACAAACCTTTTGCCATTTTGCTGAAGGACACCGTTGGCTCTTTCAGGATCTATGTTTTGTACCAATCTGGTAACAAAGGAATGTCCATCTCCCAGACTGAAAAAACAGAGATTAAAAGAGCATAAGTAAACATGTAAGCATTGGATGGATTCAGGGTGAATGGTTTTTTGGAGTCTTCACTCCATTAAAGGATTTCCAAGGTGACAGCTGTCTTACTTTGAGGAAACAGGAAACATCCAGTACTTCCCTTGGTCTCCAAATACCTCAGCTGCATTTCGCTTAAAGCCGAGAGAAAACCCGTTTTTATCTGGACCGTTTGCGAACACAGGAGCCCGAAACGCCTCTGAAAATAGGGGGAGAATATTGTCAGTTTTGACTTTTAAAATTCTATACTCAGAAGTTGAATTACATTACAAATATATTAATAACTACCTATAGTCGTCCTGTTCTTTCCCACGAGCCACAGATGGTAGCCCAGTAGTGACAGGACGCTGACAAAGAACAGGGCAGCCACGAAAAACAGAAACAAGACGTGGAATTTGGCATGCGTGTCCGGCAGCACTTTCTTCAGAGGGGGAAAACAAAATAACAAGAGTGTCAGTCAAAAAGATGATTTCCTGTGTTAGGGTTAAGTGATTTTTACCCAAACAGCTGATTACCATGAAATGGAAAATGAATGGTTTTTATTGGTATTTTTTCTCACTGGTCAGTACAACATCTAACCCTTGCACAGAACAGTCTCTTAGTATTTCTATGCTTTGTTAGAACACAATCTCCTCCTTCAATGTTGGGTTTACATGACAGGAGCCATTGTTTCATGCAAAGCAATATGCTGAAGAGAATCTCCTGATAAATGATCACATGACCAGCACCAGAGACACATTCTGTACAAAATGTGCCGATATCTTACGATGCAATCATCACATGCCTCATCAGAGCTGCAGTCATGTCAAAGAGTCTTAAGTTAATTTTTTTTTTTCAAAATGACAAGATTTCTCAGAATCTTTTTTGAGTATTATGAGTCAAATGATAAATCAATAAACTGAAACCACAACAATCATTCACATGTCAAATATGCTGATTTATAAAATTGAAAATAAGAGGAAGATTCTGTACTTACTGTCCAGAATTTGAGGAAATACTGGATGACTGTAGCACAAATCACCACACAGTAGAGTGCGGCGTAGGTCAAGAACAACACAAAGTATTTGTAGTTTGAGAATCCCACACAGTTATTCACCCTGCAAGAAAACGCGTCAGAAACAACAGAAAAGGATGCTTATCACTTTATCACTTGGAATAAAAACTGGCTTAAATGCAAAGTTAAATGAAAAAAACATACCAGGGGCAGTGATGGTCCATTTTCAGCACACACCTTGGAAAAGGGAAAATAAAGATGACGTCCTATTAGTTGTGTCTATAACATGTTCATATTTTAGAAATGTTGCTGATGCGGTTACTCTGAAGCACTTGTTAATGTCAGAAAAGCATAGTGCACATTTATTTCAATAAATGTTTAATTGTATATCAAAACACTGGAGAAATGTGTTTTAAAACCAGCATACAAATATATTTTAGTTTAACAACTGACTGTTCTATTTCTCAACTGCGACACATTTGAGCTGCAAACATGTTTTCTTGCAGCAAAACATTTTATATTTGATAACATAAAATCTAAGTTAGAATCCGTTAAACACATGTGCTCCTTCGGGGAAAACCGTTTTAAATGACAATAATGAACCTTAATTATAAAGTGTGTACAGTTAGAAAAGACTCACATCTCACAGGTTGAGCAGTGATGGCAGCGGTCAGGTTTGATCACCTGGCAGTGGTCGCAGTAACGGACGGCTTTTCAGAGAGAAGAAAAGCTGAATTAATGCTGTATCTATATTACTCAAAAATGAAAGACAGCACAATGACAAGGTATGTGACATAGCAGAGGTGTATTAAATACATTGCCTTTTTAAAATGTCCTTTTAAAACCACTAACGATTGTTGATTAGTAGAAGAGCCAGGTGTGGTCTATTGAGATAACGAGGTGCACCTGATCCCAATGAACCATCCTGATACATGCAGTACAGTAAATACAAAACAGCCCGATTAGCATTACCAGTCAAATATATTTTATAGAGATATAAGCAGTGGTGCATGCTTATCCAAAAGGGGAATAAGCATATAGCAACACATTTATGAAATTTTATTTGGTGCAACAAAAGGTAAGACGATTTCTTAAAGGTAGGGTAGGTAAGAATGGAGAAAGCAGCTCGAGTGCGCGAGAATTTGAAAGTATGCAGCCGAAAAAGATCTGCCCCTTCCTTCAGACTTCCTTACAGAGCTCCTCCTCCAACACACACGAACGCGCACATGACCAATGAGGGCACGAGATAAGTTTGTGCACAGATGGAAGGCTGACAGGCAGGTAGGCCATCCAGTTACTTTAGCCGGGCCGGCTAAAATGATTGGTCGTGCTTTTTACAGTACTACAGCTTCCACAGATGAAATGTTTGTATGTATTTATTGTCAAAGCATTTCATTTATTCATTGCTATCGGGATGTTAAGAGCATTCCATGGAATATAACAAAAAGTGTTTCTGAAGTGAATTACCTACCCTACAGTACCTTTAAGTTCACTGGGTGTTTAAATACAAATACAACCACAGTCAGTTTTGCTGTTGCGGTGAAAGCCTCACCTCCTCCTGCTGTGCGGGTATAAATGGGTAAATTCTTCGCCACTTTCTTCAGAATCTCTTGTTGCGTCTCGGCTCGCTCCTCTCTCTCAAACAGTTCCTTCTCTGCTCTGGGCAAACAAAACTGACAGGTGGAGAAAGAGTCAGAGACAACCATTATAAATAATGGGATGTATAGGACACTCATGGACTGTTTGCTATACATGTATATGTACCATATATATAACCTTCTTGAATACAAAGTTTATATAAGTGCACATTGGAAAACTTCTTATTTTCTTGGCTTACCACTTTTGAGGGGCTTTCTGGTTTGGAGCAGATCGTTTTCCAGTAGGACCATATGAACATGGTGAAGAAAATGTGAAAGAGGATCAAATAGCTGACTGTGAAGAGAAAATTAAAAGTTAGCAAAAATATTTGATATGAATTATAAACAGGATAGGAATTGTGGTGAGTAGCACTTACTCCGTTCTGGATTATTTGGAATTGTATCTACAAAAATGACAAGAAAAAATACATTTGAGTGTGTAGTAATGAAAGTCCTAAGAATACACATCCCACCACCACCACACACACACACCACCCGTTCCTCACACCATGCCGCAGCAGCCTGGCACGGCCAGCAGTGACCCTCACACAACAGAGAGCTTTGTTTTAGGGGGATGTCCCTGTCCTGACCACCGCTGCTGAGCTAAGGACAGAACTACAGTACGTCTGCATGCTAATAATGGTATCATCAGTTCCAGGCTGAAATAAACCATGAAAAAAAACCTACTGTGAGAGCGAGGGCAGTGAATGTTATGGCCGGCAGAACTGATCAATAAATATCTATTGGGAAAAAGGCATTGCTAAAGAAAGCTCTGTTTATTTCAGACCTGCCCATTATTTTTTTAAAACATGTATTTATTGATTTTTTACATTTATCACATTACACAAACACAACCGAACATTCCACAACATTAGACATATGGCAGATTACATATAACTGTAAAAAAATAAAATTTAAAAAAGTGTGCAGTTACTAGAAATCAGTTTAAAGTACAGACCAAGAATATAATTACAGAGTACAGCCCTGCCCATTTAGGCTAGGTCTGAGTATTTTCTAGGAAATGCTCTGATATTAAATGAGTATGTTGATAGTCCTATAATTATAGCTGTAATTTCCACATTTTTGTCCTATAATTTGTCTGTTTTTGGCCACATCTACTTAACTTAATTACAGAATAAGGACCACATCAAGCATGTGTTTAAAAACCTATAAACAGTTGAACAGAAGGCCCTCATCACATCTCCCCACAATGAATAACCACTGTTGCATCATGTGGTTAAATGATAGCCTCTCTTATTCTGATTTTACAGCTGGCTCACAAGGTTTATTTGTTATCAGTCAAACTACATAAAAAAAGTATTCATTATAATCTTTGTTATCATTGTCATTTGTAAAGACACGAGTTGTATTAACTACGTTTTTTTAAACTTAATGAGTACATGTAGGCCTAATGTGTAACAATATAAAAGTCATATTTACAGAATCATATTTTGGAAAAGGAAATACACTAGGCCCTAGGGCACATACTTTTAAACTATATTTTTAACCATTTACGTTTTTAATAATTTAAAAGTAGTTTATACATTTCCATTCATTTACAGAACACTATACATTGTAACGCATATGACAAAGTGTTATCTCTTTAATCTGTTACTCCAGTAAACTCGCACTGTAAATGCATTTACTATCATGATGAAGCCGTTAATTCATTTATTATAACTGGAAACAATACAGACTTTCCTTTCCCAGTCTAACTGAGAAAGTGTCCCGATTAAATAATGTGGCAATTCAATTTAGCATGTATTTAAATGGTTAAACAATCTGAAACAAACGCATATTGTGTAATATTGTAATTAGAATAAAACGCATGTTTACAGTAACGTATGCAGCCCAGGGGAAACTTTAAATCTCAAGCTTATCAAAGTTGGCAACCCTGAGAAACTGTCAACACAAGCAGATACCCGCCCCACTTCTTGTAAATACTTTATAATAGTGAGGGTACTTACAGACACAGAGCTCCACAACATAAGCGTAATAAGACCAGCCGACAACCAGGTTAATAAAAAGGACAGGTATCCAGTTCAGAGCCCGTTTGCAGCACCTCAGTGCATGAGAGGGCGCCATCTTTAATCTGTAGCTGTCAATGACGTCATATTTCCCTTTAAATAATCGAGCTGCACATGCGCAGTTGTGTTTGTAGTTCCCAAGCGTCTTGCATGCAGCGTGAATCTCATGTTAACCCTTTGTTGATACATTGATTTAATCACCAGGCTGCTTAGACTTAACTACCTTTTTAACTAAATATCATCAGTCTATTTATCTGGTTATCACTCTTGTGTTCTTGTCTTTGTTATGCAATGTGCGACTCATTGTAAAATGTACTTTATAAATACAATTAGTATTGTTATTATAGAGACAATATTACCTTTTAACGCTTCTAATGAATATATACTGCACAAGTTGGATCTCTTGCTTCGATTTCTGTTTTGCGTATATTTTTTAATTACATTACATGTTACTTGTTAGACGCTTTTATCCAAAGCGACTTACATACTCAATAGCCTACTGTGGACAATTCCCACATTCATGAATCATAGGCTTTTAACAATGGAATAAATTGCTATTGTGATTATTAAAAAGAAAGGGTAAAGAGTGAGAACAAGCCCATAAACAAATATTCATAAACAAATATTCCTATTGTATTTAGTGATTTAAAGAAGCCAATGTGAGTTTAAAGAGTTTGATTTAAAGCTGCACTGAATAATTATTTTTCACCACATGGGGGCAGAATGCATGTTTTCTCAATATTTCCAAACATGGTAGTTTGCAGTTATACCCCAGTATCTGTGTTAGCATGGTGTGAACTTAAATGGCTAAGTATATAGACAGGTAGGTTTCGAATTATTTTTAGTTTGTTGTGAAAATCGAATTGTATTTTTTTTTTTTAAACTAATGCATACAGTTTAACCCTGTGTGACTTACTTTAAAAATTAAACAACCTTAACATAGCCAGGCGGTTGTGTTTCAGTATGAATTTATAAGTCACTTTAAAACTGCCATTTCATTTAGGTATAAGGACTTGTTGGTTATGTATTTAGACATTCTTGGTTGAATACACTTACTGTAAATCGCTTTGGATAAAAGCGTCAGCTAAATGCAATGTAATGTAATGTAAGACATATTAATGAGTAACAAATGACATGAGACAAATAATATCCAAGCTTTGCAACTACCTTTATGTACATGGACTTGATTAAACCAGCATTAGTTCCATATTATGGACCAGATAATGGACCAATAGACGTTTATGTGGCCGAAGTTTAGGCCAAATCATGATGAGATTGTTTTTCCTGAGGAGGAATCTTTAATATAGGCCTTTTAAGCTGAGGAGGGGGAGGGAGGAGGGGAGAGAGAGGAGGGAGATTGGGAGGAGGAGGCAGAGGATGAGTCAGGAGAAAGGGAGCGTCGTCTTCTGGTTGGACTGCTGCTGGGGGAGCCACGGGGTGAGGAGTAGGGAGAGAGGGCCTGGAGCATCCGGCCACTGCGCTCCTGAATCACATGCTAAACGTGACAGAGACAGGAAAAAGTATGATATTTTAAACCGTGTATTTATTTATATAACAAGAAAAGCAAATGCGCCACTTGAAAACAAACTTAAAGCTCACCTATTATGCAAAATCCACTTTGTCATGAATTTTATACATCAACATGTGTCCCCTCTGTGTAAAGAGATTCTGAAAGTTTCAGGAAAAAAGATTCGCTCTCTTTTTGTCCTGATCCATTTCTATAAAAACCTGTCTGAAAATGAGCTGATCAGATTTTGGCCATATACTGATGTCATAACCGATTTTTTGGCTTGTGTAACCATTAGGGCCATAACCAAGCCAAAGGTTGGCGCCCCCCCCCCCCGACCACCCACACACACCGCTTATCAAACCTGAACCTTTCCCCTCCCTAAGAGCACCATTGTGTTGTTTTAACCAAATATATGCTCGGCAGAGGGGCGTGGGGAGTGGGCTCCTTATTTTAAAGGTCCCATGTCATGCTTTAACAGTTATAAGCCCTTCCCCCCTTGTGTGTTATGAAGGTTTGTGTGGCTAGTTGGAAGGGCCCTCGGGCAGATTGGGGTGCTGGCAGCCCCGCCTCAGGCAAACCTCCCCCCCTTCCCCGCGTCATTTCGCCGATGTCTCGCTGTCTACAGATCCCCACGCAGCAAGGCAGCGAAATGAAGCCCAGGCTCACCACTGTCCGCATCCTCGCAGGGCCAGCGACGCGCGCAACGTCCAACCAAAACATGGCACGCCAGAACCCCCAACGCCAGCATTCTAACTGTTTGTCCTTCAGTGGTGTGCATTTTCTGGTTTTGCTAAGCAACACGCCATTGTAACAACATAAAATCACTGATGTTCCCGCCTGTAACGGTGGGACTCATCAGAGCAGAGTGGGGCCCGAGGCCTGAAACCGCAATCCGAGCACAGGGGGCTCCACAGGGAGGTTGGTCCAGGAAGGGCTCCAACAAGGCCGTTTAAGGACAGAGAGTGAATACACATCTAATACAGAGATGCTGTATGAGAGAAACCAATGTGAGTTTGGAAAAATGCACAATATAAATCNTAACCAATCAGAGCATACTGGGCTCTGGTTTCAGACAGAGGGTGAAAAGAGGTGCTGCAGCACAGGCAGTATGAGACAAATGGAGAGCTTTTTGAACATTAAAGCATGGAGACATGTCACACTGGAGACACTAAACTGATATGAACCTGAGCGTGATAGGGCCCCTTTAAACTTCATTCAAATCCACTTGTTTCTGGTCTTTTTGGTTTTGCAAGTCTTTTTTCAAGCTTTAGGGGACATTACAGAGGTTGGAGCAACCTGCTTAGTATAATGAGAGACAGAATAGCTTGAAGGAGGTCAAAAGTGAAATGGACCACTTCAACGTTTCTGGGGGAAAATGATGGAGGTAGATCAAATGCTGCAGAAGAGGTTGAGAGAAGGAACAGATAGGAGAGGACGGAAAGGAAGAGGAATAAAAAGAGAGGGAGAGAGAGGTGTGCGGATGGAATTAGAAGTAGTCAAATCGGACAGCTTGATAGATTGGAGTCATTGATGTGACCCAGCCCGTAGGTACGCAGTCACTCATGTGAAGGGAAAAGACCTGATCAGACCTATTGTGCACGTTTGCGTGTGTGTGTGTGTGTGTGTGTGTGTGTGTGTGTGTGTGTGTGTGTGTGTGTGTGTGTGTGTGTGTGTGTGTGTGTGTGTGAATGTATGTGTGTATGTGTTTGATTTCATCACAAATGAGGACCAAGAATTGGCTCTGAGACTTGCTTATCCATTAGTTTATTATACCGCATTGTCAGAGTGTCCTTGCACACTCTGTAGGTGTGTGTGTGTGTGTGTGTGTGTGTGTGTGTGTGTGTGTGTGTGTGTGTGTGTGTGTGTGTGTGTGTGTGTGTGTGTGTGTGTGTGTGTGTGTGTGTGTGACAAACTACATATGGCGTAAATCTTTGATGACTGCGTACAAGGCTGATCTTTGAGCTGAATGCAGTGTGAAGGGAATATCTGTGCCTGAGTGAATGTGTGTGATGAGCTAAACACAGGTTGACTCCTGGCTCACACTTGTGTTGCGCTGCATTGCAAAGCTTTTTTTGGTGTTGCTTCTTGTTGCATTTCACTGCGTTGCATCAAATGTATTGTAGTGCGTCAAGCCGATTAGCGCCGAGGAGTTGTCTTTTAACTACAATTCAGCTACAGTTTAGACCAGGTTGAATTAGTCTTTGTAGATTAAGGGTGGCAAGAGAGAGAAGACAATATGTAAGTGATATTTCTATAGGTCTGCTGTAAAACCTTGTTATCATTTGTAACATTTACACATTAAAATATCCCAAAAATTACTACACCTATGTCATATATTATAATTATATTTCTAACAAATGGGTAATTGATGCAAATCTGACTCCTGGTGAAAGGTTTATGATGAATATGAAAGGAATTCCAACCATAAAATATTGAAGACAACAACTCCCATTATGGCAAAAATCATAATCTCGATTATGTGGGTCAATAATTGATATCACGACTATTAAAAAACGATTTTTGCCATAATGGGAGTTGTTGTCTTCAATATTTTATGGTTGGAATNCCGATACCGCAGCCGACGCGTCCCGAGACATCCGTTTCCCCCAGGTCCGTTCCCCAGGTCTCTCGCTCCCCCACCTCCCTCCTCCACTCCTTCCCCACTGATTGGCGAGTTTCGTGCACGTATCTACTAACTCCACTCCGATGACCCCGCCATCAGCAACTCCGCCCCTAAAACAGAAAAACCCCTGTCCCTTGCTCCCACTCGGGGTGATCAGTCGTAAGTCGTTACGTCGCAACAAAGGCAAAGGAGCGTCTCCTCCCTCATCAACTTTCATCCTTAATATCAACTAAATATCACATAACACCATAAACAGCACCAGTCGCTCGCACGCACCCTTTTTAATCCGCTTCGGTGATTATGCAGGAAAAAAACCCAGCCCCCACCCCCCGTTCCATTATTCATTGGTCTACTCGTAAATGTCGTGCGGCATAGTCACCATGCGTGTGGTAAACATACCGCTCATCGCCTCCGTCTCGCCATGTGTGCGCGACATAGACTGGCTGTCCCAGGCGTGCGTGCGAGGTCCGGCCTTTTTGACGCTTATTCGTCAGTCCCGTGTTTGATTTAGTCCTCTGGCCTTGCCCATGCAGGCCAGTCGAGGACCACCGGCGCGCCTGTGTCCCGGTCAATCATGTCCGTAACGTCAGTAAGTCCTACTAAACAACCCGCATCGCCTTCAAATCATCAATAAATAATAACTCTTATTAAGTTACTCGACCCTACCTTTATGAGCGGTCTTAGAGGTGGGAGGTCTTACACGTGAACGAAGTCAACGAACGATGCAGATTGCCGCCCACCTCTCACCACGTCACTGCGCATAGCTAGAAGATCGCTACATCCTCCCTCCCTACGCCTTTCATTTCATCCCACCTATACTAGGCTGACTTGTTTGCCGTCTGCCCTCTCACACCTGGACCAGAGGGACACATATGTGAGAATGCTGTTCATTGATTACAGTTCAGCATTCAATACCATTGTGCCCTCCAAGCTGGTCATCAAGCTCAGAGACCTCGGGCTCAACAGCGCCCTCTGTGACTGGATCCTGAACTTCCTGACGGGCAGACCCCAGGCAGTGCGGGTGGGAAACATTACATCCTCCACCCTCATCCTCAACACCAGAGCCCCTCAAGGCTGAGTGCTCAGCCCTCTCCTCTACAGTGTAAAAATAAATAGGGTGTTTTAACTTAAAGGGGACCTATCATGCAAAATGCACTTTGTGATGTCTTTTATACATGAATATGTGTCCCTGGTGCGTTGGGGAACTCACGCAGCGTCAGAAAATAAAACCCTCTCTCTTTTCCTCCGTACCCAAATCTTTAAAGAACGGGGGTACAACGAGCGGATTCAGATTTGCTGCCGATATGACGTCAAATCGGCGGCGGACCCACAGAAAGTTGCTATCAGAAACAATGCCTAACGTGTTTTGGATGTAGTCTCGTCTTTGTTTACATTGGCAAGCCTCGCTAACACTCAGAGCTAACCTGTACTGTAGAGCACATGTGTTTAAAAAGCAGGAAATAAAAAAAGAACTCACCTTGTGGTAAACCTGCAAGAGAAAAAGCATTTGAGCTCCATACTGTTTCAGAAATAATCCTTGATGTGGTTTAGTACAGGATGGTGTTTTAGCACAGCAGAATTTAACTTTATCTCCGGTAGAATTCTGATCAGGCATTAGCTCCGCCTCCTCCTATTTTTTCAAGCTAAGGACCCAAAATCTGCGTTTCTCTAACAGGGCTTCAAAAGAGGGGTATGAGCAGTATGAGGCATGGCTACAATGGGTGAACTGTTTGGTATTTTGAAAAAAAAACTTCACAGACATGTTTTGTTTAGGTATGGCCCTACAATATATTTTTCCGATATAGCTTAATAGATCCACTTTAAGTAACTTGATTGTAGAATATAGGAAATAACATTCAATCCAGGATTGGCCTTTATGCTAGAAACTATGTTTCTTATCATTCTCTTGTCATGAATAAAGGTATAAAGGTTAAAGTTATCATGAATCATCTCAATTCTCTTATCATTCATAAACATATTTTTCCTTTAGACAGAGCCCTAAAGAAAACCAAAAGTTAAATTAGGTTTATAATAGTTTTTTTAATCATTGTTTTTGCGTTTCACAGATTTCTTAAAAGTTGCCATACTTGGTTTGGTTTAATAGTTTGCTAAATTGTATGTGGATTAAAGGTAGGGTAGTTAATTCACTTCAGAAACACTTTTTGTTATATTCCATGGAATGCTCTTAACATCCCGATAGCAATGAATACATTAAATGGTTTGACAATAAATACGTAAAAAATGTCATCTGTGGAAGCCGTGGTACTGTAAAAAGCACGACCAATCATCTGAGCCGGCCCGGCTAAAATAACTGGATGGCCTACCTGCCTGTCAGCCTTCCATCTCGTGCACAAACTTATCTCGTGCCCTCATTGGTCATGTGCGCGTTCGTGTGTGTTGGAGGAGGGGCTCTGTAAGGAAGTCTGAAGGAAGGGGCAGATCTTTTTCGGCTGCGTACTTTCAAATTCTAGCGCACTCGAGCTGGTTTCTCCGTTCTTACCTTTAAGTTCAAAAGTTAAGCGGCTTTTGTAGAATTTCCAAATATGTTTGTACCAAATGTACCAAAATTCTAGTAATTCTAGTCAAAAACAAGTCATTTCCTTGGGTAATGTGACGCTCACAAGTATTTATCCAGCATGTTGGCTATTTTGTAGCTGGTGTAGGTTAAAAAATGACTTTATTGCAAATAAATCTCATATATTTATCGTTGTTGACTTGAAAAGCATTTATCCTGAAAACGTTTGTGTTTTATGGCCTCATTCAGACAGAAGGGTCAACGTCCCGACCATCCATCCCTCTGACATGCACAATGGGATCAATTCGTCCTTGTCTCTTATGGAAGCACTCACACACAACACACAACCTGTACATGCCATTTACTGTAAATATGTCATGGTCAGGGCAGCATTGATGAATTAGCAATGCCACAGCACTCCATAATCAGAGCGCAGCGACGGGCTCTAGTAATTGTTGTTAGCGGCGTGTGAACGGCAGAGTTAAGTGACCTTGGATCACGACCTCAGGCACGGACACATGGCGCTGCTGCCGTGGGCAATATGATGGTCAGTCCCCCTGGGAGATGTGTTTTCTCGGTCTAGAAAGTTGAGACACGCAGACTCGCACCATTAAGAAAACAGAATGGGAAATCTTAACTGGATGCAGCCTTCATTTGCATCTGGATCGGGCTTGATAGACGAGGACACATGAACAGACCCTCCTTTGGGGTTCATGTTAGTGTTGCATCATGTCAATTATATGATTCAATAAACATTAATGTTTTGTTTCTGAACAATCCACATTGCGCACAATCGATATATGAATATTAACAGTGTAAAACGTAATCTATCAATACCACTCTCACGGCACTGTGTGCTATGAAACTAGAGCATCTTAGTTTAGCATAAAGACTAGCATGAAGAGTGAGCTGCAGGAAGTTTCCAATTAGTTTTGCTAAATCCGAAATCCACCTGTGGCTTTAAAGAAATGTTTCCTATTGATCTCCATTGCAAACAATATCAATTATGACTTTCCTTTTTTAATTTTCGATCTATGGAGGTTTGGCAAATGGACTACACGGCATATTGAGTACGATGCAAACTCACCAAGTAAAAAAGGTTATGGCTTACAGTAAGTGCCTGCAAGCATTTCTTATTGGCCTAAATAAAGCCATCTTTGGGTCAGGCATCCAGATCTTATTACATTACATGTACTTACATACTCAATACTGTGGACAATCCCCACAGGAGCAATTTGGGGTGAAGTGTCTCAGGGACACAACGACATGCTGACTGCAGTGGGGTTTGAACCTCCAAACACCAACACACAACCCACTGCGCCGCACACCAACTCTTATAATACACTATTGTCTTTGTCAAGAAAGCGTATAATATGTTAAGAGATAAACTTAAGAGTTGCTCGGTACAGTGTGTTTCCTTCGGACGGATACAGGCTAGCTTTTTCTGCCTTTATACCAAGTGAAGCTAACCTGCAGCTGGCTGTAACTTCACATTTACAAGATTAATAATTAGAGAGGTATCGATCTTTTCATCCAACTCTTGGCAAGAGAGTGTATTTCTAAATGCGATATATTTAAAGCTACAGAAACTTGCATTTGTTAGCAATCTCTATATTGTGTTGGTAGGAAATAGCTGATAGTTTTTAAGGGGACTGTGAATAGAAACAATAGCCGAGTTTTAGTGATGTTGTGAAGAAGTAGGGGATCATGGCTGTTAGGGCTGCTCAATTAATTGTATTTTAATCGCAATTACGATTTTAGCTTCCAACGATTATGAAAACAACCTAATCAAAATAAAACGATTATTTATTTTTTTTTTTTATTTTTTTTTTTTTCAGTTGAATTACACTTCAAGTTCAAAACATACTGTTCAAATGTTTTTTTTCAATAAATGAATGTTTTCAAAGTAAATGGATAACCGTTTTTTAATAAACGTGATATCAATTATTGACCCACATAATCGAGATTATGATTTTTGCCATTATGGGAGTTGTTGTCTTCAATATTTAAAAAAAAATATCACTTACATATTGTCTTCTCTCTCTTGCCACCCTTAATCTACAAAAACTAATTCAACCTGGTCTAAACTGTAGCTGATATGTAGTTAAAAGACAACTACTCGGCGCTAATCGGCTTGACGCATTACAATACATTTGATGCAACGCAGTGAAATGCAACAAGAAGCAACACCAAAAAAAGCTTTGCAATTCAGCGCAACACAAGTGTGAGNGGTGGAGTTGGCCCAATAGCCGTAGCGCAACTTCTGTGACGACATAAAAGTGTTCAAATCTGGATCAGTCTGTATAAGATCCGTTGCAGCCCCTTTTTTAGAGATTTGGGTATGGAGGAAAATAGAGAGGGTTGTGTTTTCTGACACTTGGTGAGTTCCCTGGAACACCGGGGACACATGTTCATGTAGAAAAGACGTACACAAGTGCATTTTGCATGATAGGTCACCTTTAAGATGGAAACATTTAAGGTTCACTTCGACCTCCGGGGTGGCCTTACTATGGAGGGGTGGATTGAGCAGTAACTATCTCTAGAAAGCACCTAAACAACGACATGCAGAGCTACGTGAATAGCAGGTAGACCAACTGGAAAAGTACCACCATTCAAATAGCATGGGCCGAACCACGCCCCTTAACTGTGATATAATGACCGTATACCACGGCCTGTCATGAGCTATTGCTTAAGTGTATTAAGTTTATGCAAAGTTTATGTAATTAACGTTATTTTCTTCCTTTTTTGTTTGACAAGGTAAAATCTCTTTAAATGTTTGGAACTTGTTTTTATTTTAATTTTTGTACTTAAAGGTGGGGTATGTAATTTTGGAGAAACCAGCTCGAGTGCGGTAGAATTTGAAAGTATGCAGCCGAAAAAAATCTGCCTCTTCCTTCAGACTTCCTTACAGAGCCCCTCCTCCAACACACACAAACGCGCAAATGACCAATGAGGGCACGAGATAAGTTTTTGCACAGATGGAAGGCTGACAGGCAGGTAGGCCATCCAGTTACTTTAGCCGGAAATGATTGGTCGTGCTTTTTACAGCTATTACATTGCTATTGGGAAGTTAAGAGCATTCCATGGAATATAACAAAAAGTGTATCTGAAATAAATTACATACCCCACCTTTAAGTAGGACAATCCATAGTTTGACATTTATAGGCCTGTAATGTATTTCATTTTCTTCAATCAAAGAGTTACCAGTAACTTTCGGAGTATGGCTGTTTAAAAGATAGAGATAAAGCCTTCTTCTGGCAGATCCATCGTTTGTGGTCACCACAGCTCACTGATACCCAATTGTTTTCTCTCACGACAGAGATTGCACAGCGACCGTCAACAGCCTCTGCATTAAAGGAGCTGAGGATGGAAAATGATGTTTAGAAAAAGGCTGATAGATGTTAATATTCAAAGTGTTTAGCAATGAATCTCTCACCTATCAGTCAGATCACTTCCATTCACGCAAATCCGTTGAACTCAATCCTTTTTGGTGTCATGTCTTGTATTTGCTGTTTCAAGTTGTTATTCTGGGTCTCCAGCTCCTTGATTCGTGAGTACAGCTCGGTATTGTTTCCTGAAAGTTTAGAGGTCACTACAGAGACACAGAGGAAGGTGTTGGGCTGTAAAACTTGTGTCTCTGAGTGATTGAATGTTCTTGATAAACATTAAAGAATGGGTTCACATGTTTGCTTCACATAGCAAAGAGCTAAATGCATTTGGAAAGCGACTGGTCTCCTCTGTATTGTAGACATCTTACAAAAGCTCTGACATTTAAAACCACTTCCTTTTGTTAAATATGGAAAACAGGAACACACACTTCCCCCGTAACACATCATTTCAGCCTCCTATTACAGAATCTTTGCAGCAAACGAGAGGGGAGATGTTGTTGAATCGACAGACAGAGTTACAGAGCTTCAGGTCACATCTAATACAAACTGTTGAACTGACTTTCACACAGAAGATACTCACAGTAGATACGGAGACCCATGATGGCTAACAGTATGAGCCACCAACACACTGCTATCAGAAGAACAAACCTCCGGCCTGAAAAACAATAATTCAGTTAAAAAACCTAAACAACATGACAGTCACAGATGCTTAGGATACAT